AAAAAAAAGAAATTGAGTAATTTGAGAAGAGATGAACAGAGGGTCACTTACAAAAGAAGGGGTAGGGGACAGAAAAGATATAAAGGACAATACAATCCCCAGGGTTGGTAAAAGTGGGCACCTTTGCACCTCAGCCCTGGGAAGATTTGCTCAGTTCCTAAACCCCTGAAAGAGTGCAGAGGGGGCCACCTGACAGAAGCTGTGAGCTACAGGCAAGTCCCCATGACCCCAAAGGAAGGGAGCCAATGTACCCACAACCTGACCTCACGCTCCTCGGCCCCTGGGATTTCCCACCAGTGCCTCCCATTGACCAGTCACAAGTCAGAGGGCACGGAGCCCACTGATGCAGCCCTTAGCAGCCAATGTCCTGGATCTGGAGTACACAAACAGTGAATGCATGAGAGTTTCCTGCACTTGAACTTACACTATCTTGCAGGGAAAGAATCCCTACCAGAAAACCCAAGTTACCTTACAGATACATCAAGTTCTTCTTTTTCCATTTTTCTTTCACTTTCTTCTCTACTGGTCAATTCCATATCAGCATCCTCCACTGTCTTTCTCTCACCGTTTTGAAAGTACTGCTGAAGGGCAGTGTACAGCTTAAACACTTGGCTGAAAGAAAGCTTACTGTAGGCCAAGATCATGTGCCGCAGAAATAAGCCTACAAAATAAGACCACAGACAAGGTAAAAGCATTAACTGAAATCCAGGTTACATAATGCCAATAATGGTTTGTCACAATTCTTTCTACAAAAGAATCAGAAAGAGGCACTTGCAGTGGCTGTTCCCTCTGGAGCTTCTTTTCCTGTCCTTTACAAGGCTGGTTTTCTTTTTCTTATTCAGGGCTTAGTCTTCCCGCCCCTCCTCCTCCATCTCTATCCCTTAAGGCCTCCATTTTACTTTCTTCATGGCTGTTACAACTAACTGAAATTATCTTTCTTATTTGTTTCTTTTTACCATCTGGATCCCCCCACCAGAAGGTCATCTCCATAGGAGGTAAGTCCACATCTACCTTGGACGTCAGAGCCTGGCACATAGGAAGAGGTCAAGAAGTAACTGATGTTGAATAACATAAAAATGACCATGCACAAAAGACTGACAGAAGCACAGGCGGAGCATGGATACAAAACTAACAGAAAAGCGTCAAAGAAACATCACATAGGCCTTGGTCTTGCATACTAGAGCACCAATACGTTTCTACTCACCTCTCGTCATAAGTCTGGCTGGTGACCCTCACTTACAGTTGCACAGTGCAGGCAAGTGATCCGGGACTGTGAGAAAGAGCTGGGAAACCCTAAAGCCCCAGGACCAGGCTCTGACTCTTACTATTGTAGACAAAACAGAAGGTGCTTTTCCACAAGTTCATTATTTAACTACAGATCAAAATGGTAAGGCAATATATACAAACTACCACACGGCCATCCACCCCACAGTGGCAGTTCACAGATACAGCGCAGTAACGACAGATGTGACTAGGGAAGCTGCTCACTTCAGTGAGACCCACTCTGCTCTTACAAGACTTTCATACCTACTACACTTGTTTTGTGAACCTCTGGTTCAGTTCCCGAAAAGGAATCTGAAAGGTCATCAAAAAACTGCTCCATATCCTTCAACTCGCCTTCAGCCATCAGTTTGATTCTGAATGAGAAAATTGAAGTGCATAATTCAGGAAGGTCTTTGGAACATCTCACATTTTGTAGTCCTCAACTATCTAAAATAAACCTATTTTAAAGGAAATTCAAGGATTTGTATAAAATGGTGGCTCACAAAACATACTTTATAATCTAAAATGTTACTCTCATATTTCTGAAAAAACTTCTTTTCATTGCTGTTTTCCTGATCATAAAATCTGTCAAATTATCACAGCAGCTAGTAAAAATGGAATTCTCAGCAACAATTAAAATGAAGTAGGGCAAAGTGCAGTGGCTCACATCTATAATCCCAACACCTTACGAGGCAGAGGTGAGAAGACTGCCTGAGCCCACAGGTTTGAGGCCTGGGCAACTTGATAAGACCTCGTCTCTACAATAAATTTTCACAATAAATTTCCACAGATTTTTTTTTCTTTTTTTGAGTTGGAGTCTCACTCTGTCGTCCATACTGGAATGCAGTGGCCACTCCCGGCCACCGCAGCCTCGACCTGATGAGCTCCGGTGATCCTTCGGCCTCAGCCTTCCAAGTAGCTGGAACTACAGGTGCACGCCACTACACCTGGCTAATTTTTTTTATTTATTGTAGAGATGAGGTCTCACCAAGTTGCCCAAGTGGGTCTCGAACCCGCAGGCTCAGGCAATCCACTCACCTCAGCCTCCCAAGGCGCGGGATTACAGGCTGAGCCACCAAGCCCGGCTCTACAGAATTTTTTAAAAGCTATAAAACAGCATGCTTAATGTTATCCGTTTTTTTAAAAATTAAGTAATGGCACTTGGGAAAACAACCTAGAATAATAAAGATACTGTTTTTAAAGAAGTAATTACCACATATCCTCTTGTAATTTTCAACTACCTTGACACCTGTTCATATAGACAGAAGAAAATGAAGTTTACCTGATCTGTACTGAATTCGCCAGCTGAGGACAAGAGTCTTCAATTAATTTGTATAGTTTTGACAGTGTAATATCTGGGCCCTAAGTAAAGGAGAGAAAGGAGGCATGGATACATTTTAAACAGCTGGAGACTGAAAAAGAACTGCAAACATAAATTCACTGATCAACCCCCCTGCTTTAATGATTATTCCAAATATAAAATCTCAAATCAAGGTTTTTCTATCTACCTAAAACACTGAAGTAATACTTCATCCTTTCATACTATTTTTTTCTGAGTTGGAGTCTATGTCACCCAGACTAGAGTGCAGTGGCACATTCATGGCTCACCGCAGCCTCAGCCTCCTAGGCTCAGGCGATCCTTCTGCCTCAGCCTCCCAAGTAGCAAAGACTACAGGTCCATGCCACCATGCCTGGCTTTTTTTTGGGGGGGGGGGAAGGGGGTAGCATAAAGACGTTTTGCTGTGTTGCCTAGGCTGCTCTCAAATGCCTGGGCTCAAGCGATCCTCTCATCCTGGCCTTGGCCTCCCAGAGTGGCATTGCAGGCGTGAGTCACTGTGCCCATCCTGTTTTTATTTAGTCAGTGTTCTCTGACTAAACAAAATATTAGAATGGTCTAAAGTGGGGGGGGGAGCATAGGATTTATAGTCTGAGGATCCACTGTTCCTTCCTTCCTAGTTTTGTAATCATGGCAAAATTGTGACTTCTTTGAGCCCCAATTTCCTTCATCAGTAAAATGAAGATAACAACAAACAACATCTCTAGGGTTAGTGTGGTGGTTCATGCCTGTAATCCCAGTGCTTTGGGAGGCTGAGGCAGGATGATAGCTTGCGGTCAGGAGTTCAAGACTATCCTGGGCAACATAGTGAGACCTCATTTTTCAAAAAAATCTAAAAATTTACCAGGTGTGAAACCTGTATTCTCAGCTACTAGGGAGGCTGAGGCAGGAGGATCACTGTAGCCCAGGAGGTGTGACAGTGAGCTATCACACCACTGCATTCCAGTTGTAGGTGACAGAGCAAGACCCTATCTCAAAAATAACAATAAAATAATAGAAAGCATCTCCCTTGTTTTTTGGCAAAAATTAAGTAAGATAATGCAAGTGCTGGCCAGGTTCGGTGGCTCAACCTACAATCCCAGCACTTTAGGAGGCTGAGGCAAGTGATTTGCCTGAGCCCACAGGTTCGAGACCAGCCTGGGCAACTTGATGAGACCTCGTCTCTATAATTAAAAAAAAGAAAAAAATTAGCCGAGCATGGTAGTGTGCACCTGTAGTTCGGCTACTTGGAAGACCAAGGCAGAAGAATCACCAGAGTCCAGCAGGTCGATGCTGGGGTGGCAGTGAGAGTGCCACTGCACTCCAGCCTGCTCGATGGAGTGAGAATCCAACTCAAAAAAAAAAAAAAAAAAAAAGACTATTCAAACGTGCTGCATGGAAAGATCTCCAAGACTTGTTAAGTGAAAGGAGCAAGCTATAGGACAGACATACCATTTAAGTTAAAAAAAAAAAAAAGAAATTAAAAACATACACATATAAATATACATCACTGAGAGAGACCAGGATTGGAAGATGTGCAGAACCTTTACCTTTTTCACCCCATCAATTTTCATACTACTGTATTTGAAGTTTTCACAACAAAGTTTTGTGTATTAGTTGAGTGGTTAAAAATTAACTAACTTAAAAAACCAAAATAGTAAAGGAATTGAGTACTGGTTAGAATGTTACTGGACAAATTCTACACACATTTTTATTAAAACAATGTATTAGTTAGCCAGACCAAAAAAAAAGAAAAAAAAAAAAAGAAAAACCCCAGAAAAGAGAATCTTAGGCAGCACAAACCAGCATGAGCAAAGAAGGATGGTGAGAGTTAAGAATCCAGGATTACTGTAATTTTCTCTATTTGGCCAGGTGAGCCTGTCATCACAGTACTTTGGAAGGTAGAGGTGAGAGGAGTGCCTGAGCCCACAAGTTCAAGACCAGTCTGGGCAACTTGGCGACCTCCTCTCTACAATAAATAAAAAAAATTAGCCACGTGTGGTGACACACGCCTGTGGTTTCAGCTACTTGGAAGGCTGAGGTGGAAGGATAGCCTGAGCCCGGTAGGTTGAGGCTGCGGTGGCCGGTGACCATGAGCATGCCACTGCACTCCAGCCTGAGATACAGAAAGACTCTGACTCGAAAAAAAACACATTAAAGTGAAAACATCCTGCTGGGCTCAGTGGCTCAGCCTGTAATCCCGGGCTTTGGGAGGCCGAGGTGAGTGGATTGCCTGATCTCGGGTCTTGAACGCAGGTTCAAGACCCGCCTGGGCAACTTGGCGAGACCTCATCTCTACAATAAATCAAAAATTAGCTGGGCGTGGTAGCGCGCGCCTGTAGTTCCAGCTACTTGGAAGCCTGAGGCAGAAGGATCGCCAGAGCCCAGTAGTCGAGGATGCGGTGGCAGGGAGCGGCCACTGCACTCCAGTCTGGGCGACAGAGTGAGACTCCAACTCAAAAAAAATAAAAATAAAAAAATAAAAAATAAGCCGGACTCGATTGCTCAGTCTGTAATCCCAGCGCTTTGGGAGGCTGAGGTGAGTGGATTGCCTGAGCCCACAGGTTCGGGACCCGCCTGGGCAACTTGGCGAGACCTCATCTTTCCAATAAATCTAAAAATTAGCTGGGCGTGGAACGTGCTCCTGTAGTTCCAGCTACTTGGAAGGCGAGGTGGAAGGATCGCCGGAGCCCAGCAGGTCGAGGCTGTGGTGGCCGGGAATGGCCACTGCACTCCAGTCTGGGCGACTGAGTGAGACTCCAACTTAAAAAAATAAAAATA